GCACAAGTATCCATCTGTCTCAGTTTTACAGTCTGTACAACCGCCCCCTCCCCACCCCAGGCCCTGATACAGTGGTAGCAAACTTCATTTCTCTAAAGATTAATACCAAGCTCTGGCCGGTGTAGCTCCGTGGATTGAGTGCCAGCCTGCAAACCAAAGGGTTGCCAGTTCAATTCCCAGTCAGGGCACATGCCTGGGTTGTGGACTAGGTCCCCAGTGGGGGGCGGGCAAGAGGCAACCACACATCGATGTTTCTCTCCTCTTTCTTCCTCCCTCCCCTTCTCTGTAAAAATAAATAAATATTTCAAAACCAAAAAACAGCACTCACATTGGGATTGTATGTTTGAAAAATTGTTTTCTTTTAAAAAATGTTCAAGTTCTGCTCTGTTGTGAATGAATGAATGGATGTTTTGTTTAGTGTCTAAAGTTTAGACCACCCCCCGCCCCCCCCCAAAAAAAAGTCAAGTGTTTCAAATATTATTTTACGGAATTCAGAGAAAGTTCTGTCTGTTAAAACACTTGATTATTTGGGCGACAATCCTAGTAAGTGTATTCTCGACTTGGCACCCGTGTGAAACCCGCCCCAAACGTTCCCAAGGAGTCTAAACACGGCGCGCACAGCTCTCCTGGGAAGCCAGTCCCACCTTTTATACGTCTTGGAGGAAGAAGGCTGCTTTCCCACCTCACACAAAAACGATCAGATGTACAGATCATAGACACAAACGAAGGGAGACGATAAAATTCCAAAAAGGCAGGTGGCGCATGCGCCCCAGCATCGCAGGCCTCCGGAGGGAGGCTACTCAGCAGGGGGTTTACCTGGTCCTCTCGCCCGTCTTTTCTCACAGCTGCAAAGCATCCTGGGCTTGGTGTCAAAAGTGTATCTTTTGGCCCCTTCCTTCCAGTGGGGGGAAGTCTGTAGTGGCTGAGGGAGGATTTCCAAAAGCACTTCTGCAGGGGCTGTCATCACAGAGGGTAGAAGAGAACCTTGCAGAGCTGTGCTGGCGGGAAAGGAAACCTCATCCACCTCTGGAGTGGGAGGTGGCTGTGTGCCGCTTGTTTGAATCAGCTGCCGTGTCGCTTCAGGAGCAGACAAGGACCTGCTCAGTGAGCCCACACATCGGGCAAGAGGCTGCCTGAGCCTGGGCGGTGGGGCGGGGGGGCCTGCGGACCATCCGGTCCGGAGCCATGCAGAACTTCCCACACGCCTCACCTTGAAACCTTCACAGTATTTGGTCTCTTTCCTTACGTTAAGGTTCTTTGGGGAATGAGATTTCCCCTCTTTTTACCTTTGGCAGTGGCTTGCCAGTCACACCCTTGATCTGTGTGATACCCGGGCTCCACCACCCCCACATCCTGCCTGCCTCACAGTCCCCCAGGGGGCTTGTGGACAAGTCCCAGACCTGCCGGACCAGAGAGCAGGACTGGGACCCCTTACGTTTCCCAGGCTCCCTGGGAATTGCGGCAGAGCCAGGTAGGGGGGCGCCTTGGCCGGCCCCAAGTCCCAGCACTCACTGGCGGAACAGAAGGACTTGGCGATGGAGGTGAACTGCTGCTCTGAGGTGGCCTCGGAACACCCAGCCCCCCTCCTCATGGACCTGCTCTCACTAGAGAAAGCGATTCAGACTGAAATGTGGCCCCAGGGCCACAGGCACTTGGATTTATCAGACTGAAATGTCGCCTGTTAGGTGAAGAGTCATGAACATCCCCCATCTTTTAAACCCAGTGCTGTGTTCTTGCCTTCACACAAGGTCCTCAGCTGGTAACCTTTCCTTTTCAGTAGGGCAAATTGCGCCTCCCCAGGTGTGAAGGCCCGGGTCTTCCTTGCCAGCCTCTTGTTTCAGAACTAGTGACGATGTTACAGAGCTTTCGCAGTCAGCCCTCCCACGTGATCTGCACACACACCCCAGGTAGGAAATGGGGCTTTTGTCTTCAATTTACAGGTCAGATTAAGGCTCCACAAACCCGGTTCTCTCCAAATCTCAGCTTTTCCCTGTAGCACTTTACTCTGTGAAAAGACTATAACTTGTCATCTCTCTGGTTTAAAGGTCTAGCTAATAAATATACGATGCTTTAAAAACAGTTAAGTGCTGTGCAAATTACAGGTTACTTTGTTGTCCCAGGCAAGTGTTGGGTCTACAGTCAGTGCTGAGAGTCCAAGGGCGGTTGCATCGCGGAGCAGTACCTTCCGTTAGTTTGTACCCGGGCTGTTTCTTCTCCCTTCTCTGTCCCCTTTCCCGGGGCTCCCTGTCCCTCTTCCCTCATCTCAGTCCAGTGATTCCAAACTCCACCTCTATATAGACAGCACCCACTGTTATATCTCCGGTCTGAGCTCTCTCTAGATTTAAGGTCAAACGACATGGGACACATTTGTGTGTCTTAACGGACACGACCGAAGTGGTGATCTTCATCACCTGCCCCCATTTCTGCCCTGTCGACCCCACCTCAGTACTGAGGCAGCACCAAGAAGTCAAACTGATAGCTTTCATTTCTTTCTCCTTCTCAAGGTTCTGCTGATTCTCCAGGGTAATTCCAAAGTAATCTTGAGTGCTATTCCCCTGGCCCTACATTAGTCCAAGTCGCTTTCCTCTCTCCTATCAACGTTTCCAACAGCCTAACTGGCGCTCTTGCCTCCCATCTCAACTTCCTACAGTCCATTTTCCACACTTCAGCCACGGTGATTTTTTCCTTCCAGAGTGATTTCCTTAGAACATGGATAATACCATTCATTCTCCTGCTTAAAAACATTCAGCGGGTTTTCTTTGCACCTGGAATAAAACCTAGCATCTCTGCCTCTCTCCTTCCATGCCTGACCCCATCCACGAGCTCCAGCTTCACTGATGGGCAGCTCCACAAACACACCGTGCAGTGTTGCCCCCAAACACACTTCTTTGCCACCGCAGAGCCTTCACCTGTGCTGTTCCTCAGCCTAGAATGTTCCCTCCCTGCTTGGACGGTGTGCTTCTTCAAGACTTGGCTCAGCCCAGTCTCAGAGAGGTCTTCTTCAGCCACTGACAGTGGGTTTCCCGCCTCCTGCCCCCAGTTGTTCACTTTACCGCCTGTTTTCCTCATCGCACTTGATCACAACATGTATTTTTGTTTTTACTTTTGGCTTCCTACCCCACTTTTTGGCATGTGGTAGGTTCTTAATAAATACTTGTTGATTGAATGAATATTTTACTTCTGAAGACTTGAAACACTTCTGCAAAAACTTCTGTTTCTCCTTTCTCCTACCTCTAGCTCCCAGGAACCATATTGAAGAGGCTGGACCTCCAGCGCTCAAGTTCTCTGATTTCACTGTGTTCAGGGAGGGAGCACGTAGGAAGGGGTAGGGACTCGAGAGAACACCAGCAGGGGACTACAGGCGTTCTGTACCTTCCGCTTATTTTATTAAAATGGAAATAAATACTGATTTTCCTCTGGATAAGGAATAGATCAGACCTAGGACATAGGTGAGTTTCAAGGCAATTAGTAGGATCCCGTGATTAGGAAAGTCTAGGTAGGGGCTATTATGACCCTAGAGTTTCTGTGTGGGGGGTGTTTACTTGTTGTCTTGGTGTCTCTTTCTCAAGAGCCTGTGCGGCTTCCATCACACTCAACACTGAGTTGTGATGAGGACCTGATTTCTCCTGGACCAACAAGGTGAGTTATCCAGAGCAGACCTGGCAGTCCCAGGAAGCCAGCCCAGACAGGGGCCAGGCCACAAGTGCTCCCCTCTGGCACGAAAGCAGGGCAGCCCGCCAGAGTTCGCAGGGTTGCCCTTGGGTGGCTTTGCACAGCTGCTGAGCCCCTGGACACTATCCTTCGTCACAAACCTCCTCTTTCATTCCGCTGAAAACCATAGCCAGATCGGAGGACTGGGCCCTCTTCACATTTTCCCAGTAGGCCTTTATGACACTCCCCTTTCTCTAGGCAGTTTTGGTTTCTGGTCCTTGACCGCCAGCATCTCCATCAGTAACCCTCCTTGGGTTCTATCTCGTTGCCTGTTCCTAGTTCTAGAAGCCACGCCTACCTGCTTGGTGCCGGCTGTTGTTCTCTCCTCAAGTGAAAATCAGAGTCAGGGGACTGGCTTGAACTTTCCAGGAAGGGGGAGCTCCCCACCTGAGCTCACCCGGATGCCTTGTTCTCCCATTCCAGAGCCAGCACATTGGCACATACTTTCTGGTGGGACTGAAAACAAATCAAAATGCAAGGAGCTCCCCTGAGTTCTTGTTCACCAAAAGGTGTCTCCTCCCTCTTTTCCAAAGTGTTAAAGTCAAACTCTTGTGCAAATTCACCACGATTTACTGAATTTCTCTGGGTAGTGGTGGCTCTGGCTTAAAGTTTGAACAGCCCTGGCTCACCGAGGAAGGTGGGGAGCCCAAAGCAGGGACTCTGTGCAGGGGCCCAGGGCCCCACCCCCATGCCACCAAATGAGCTGCGCTCTGCAGCTTTCAGAGAGCAGCACGTGTGGGGGCCCGACTCTGGCGATCCCTTTGGAAACGGGATGTGTGAGGCAGTGAGGAAATGCGGGTGCCACAGAGAGGATCTTCCCAATGAGCCGTGCAAACTCCCCTGAAGAACAAAACTCCCCGGCACTTTTCTGTGGTCAGGAAACATATTTACATTTCAAAATTATTTTTTAAGAATGTGACTTTCAGACAGCCAAACATTTCATCACAGCACAATGCCTACACATTTTAAAAATCATCGTCTGCTCCCATCTTACAAAAAATAAACAATAAACAACACAGGCACCTATATGCAGAACTGTGTTCATCTGCAACCAGTTCTGCTGGGAAGCCCGTCTGCCCCATTTTGCTGTGAAACCAAGTAATGGACTTGTCCCAGAGGCAGCCTTCAATCATCTGTTCGTCAGCAGGCGCCCAGGAACTTTAAGATGATGTGGAAGAAGTCAAGCTTTGGTCTCACTGTCCCTTCTCCATGACAGAGAAGTCACAGGCCAGAGCTATTTCAGCCGTCCCTCATCATTCCCAAGTGTGTCCACCGTCCCACGTGGGGCCCTACAACTCCTCCTCGCTGACCTTCTCACCGTCGTCGCTGGGCCGGGCCTGTCGCCTCTGCTGCACCAGCTGCTTGTCCAGTTCCCGCAGCTGCTTCAGAAAACCCCGGTTGGGTAGGACGCAACGGTTCTTTGCCACTTGTTGAATGGCCTCCACCAGCGTCATGCTCCTGTGGATCATCAGGTAGGCCAGGACCAGGGTGGCCGACCGGCTGCGGCCCATGGCGCAGTGGACCAGGACCTTACCTGAAACAGAGCGGGGAGAAGAGGCGCCAAACTAACTAGACCGGCAGTCATTGCCCTCTTCCCCACCTTGCGCTCTCCGGGTGGGGAAAGCCAGTTTCCCTAGGAATAAATATCCTGGATGAAGCAGTAAATCTTAATTTATCAAACTGCAACCCTTGGTTACAGTTCTTAATATTCCGTGTGATGACATGGGACACGCTCAGAGGGCCCTTGGGCTGCATACCAGGCCGCGATGGTTATCTCAGGGAAGAGCACTGGCGGATGGAGTTGCAGGCTGAATGAGCCACTGTTTCATGAGACACCATTTTTACTTAAAAGAGTGAATGACAGAAAAACCATGGCCATTCAAACTTGGGTATTTGGCAGACTTTTCTCAAAAGTGGACAAAGTCAGCCTGTCTCATCAAAGAAAACAACGGATGGTATTTATTGCCAGTGATAAAATGCAAGCTTTTGAGCAAAAATTAGAATTTTGGAAAACTTGTGTCTATCACCGCAAAGTTGACAGTTTCCCAGTACTTTGAAGATTTTTTTGTGTTAAGATCAGTGATATAGTTACCATGGTGTGTTTTTTGATAATCTACGGGGAGGAGTGTCAATATTTGGAGGGTCTATATAACTTAGTCAACCAGTATTTGCCAGATGACCAATACAGGATGTTGCGGACCATGCAGGGGTAAAAAATCCATTCACAGTGCGAGACAGACCAGTGGATTTTCATGTAACTAAGTATGAAGTTTAATGATGTGGTGTCGATCCCACATCACAACCAGTCTCTAAGAAGTTGTCATTTGTCGAGTTTGGGTGTAGTATCGACGAATATCCACATTCGATACTTCGGTGTAGTATCAAAGAAATTATTTGAAAGGCCTTTTGAAGTCCCTTCTCCAATTACATATCCGAGTGAGGCTGGAGTTTTTTCATCTACATGAACCAAAACAATATATCACAACAGATTGAATGCAGAAGCTAATGAGATTCCAACTGGATTCTAATAAGCCTCGTGTTAAAGAGATTTGCAAAAATGTAAATTAATGCCACTCTTATCCCTAACTGTATTTGGAAAATATAATTTTTCATAAAAATGTTATTATGTTAATATGCAATGGTGCATTTCATTATTTTTAAATGAATAAGTATTCAATTTTTCTTTCCACTAGGGTAAATATTGATAGATATAACCTACATAAACAAAAGTTCTTTGAGGTCTTCAGTAATATTTATGAATGTAGAAGTGTTCTGAAACCAAAGAGTTTGAGAACCAGAGACCGAAAGGAATTTTCACACACATACAAAAAGAGCTCCTTTTGGCCACTACCATGGCGATCGAAGGGCCCAGCTCAGATGCCTTGATGTGAAGCTATTTCCTTGTCCTCCATTTGGGGGCGCTCTAGAGCTCACCTAGCGAGCACCCACCGTGTTAACCTCATTTCATCCTTAATACAACCTTCAAGGCTTCATTATCACCATCCCTGCTTTACAGAGAAGGAAGACAGGCTCAGAGAGGGAAATGACTGCCATGGGTCGCTCGGAAAGCTGGTGCCAGCACTAGAAGGAGTTCAAAGCAACATGTTATTGAGGCCCTACTGTGTGCTGGACACTGGCCGTTATGCTCTTGGGACAGAGAAAATAATGAGATTAGGCTCTCTGGCTGTACCCACTACTGCCGTCCCGGTGGCCACCCGCCCTCCCCCGGCTGTGTGATCGCCCCGCTGGGATCGAGCTGGCCAAGGAGGCTTGAGCTATGCGGCCCCGGTGCTGTCCCTGTCCCTGTGTCTCAGGCTCAAGGCCTGGAGGACGACCAGGGAGACACTTGCGGACATCCCCAGGTTTCCGGAGCATCTTCAGGGTGTGAGAACAGCTGGGAAAGAACACTTGTGAGTGGACGTGGGTCTCCTGGGTCTCTCTCACCTTCCTCAGAGGAACACATCCAGGACAGTGGTGATAGCAGCCAGGGCCGCATGGAAACGCAGGAGGCCTTGACTACCAGGCCCCAGGTCCTCTGTCCCCAGCCACCCTGGGCGGGCGGGGGTGGGGGGGGAGCTGCACGCCCTGCCCAGCAGGAAGGGCTCTGTTGACGGCCTCTCACGCATGGGGCCGGCACCGAGGAGAGGTAGATATCCCATGAGAGCTGCTCGTTTGATCATATTTCCTTCCGCGAATCTCCACAGGCTAACCAGGGGCCCTCCACTCCCACCCTTCATGTGGCTGAGCTACAAGAGTGTGGCCAGAAAGGCGGGCAAGAAGCAGGGCCGGCTTCTTTACCGCTGGGTTGGGGAGGGGGGAGCCCGGCCCCCGCCTGACTGCGCGCTGGGGTGGAATGTCTGCCTCTGGCATTCTCATCGCCGCAGACTGTTCCAGAGGCCGTCTGGGCCCGCGCCAGCTCTGCTGATAACTACAGCGTTTCTTCCTCTCCTGGCAAAAAGGGTAATTCTTTCTGTCATGAGTAAATGCTTGAAACAGACGAAAGCTGTAGTTCATTAAGTCTTTGGGGAGCCTGAAGTCTGTTAAGTGGGGGGAAGGGAGAGAGAGGGAGAGAGAGAGGAGGAAGGAGAGGGGGTGGGGCGGGGTGGTGCTCAGCTCCCAGGAACTCCTGGAGCTACATCTTGTTTTTGTGACAGCGGGCATTAAGGCCATCAGCCACGTGAGTTTGCTAGGTCTCCCTCGGGGCAAGGGCCTGTCCTCTGACTCTCAGGGCCCTTGCATCCTCTCTGCTCTACGGCTCTGCTGAGCACTACCCTTGGGGACCCAGCATCGTGCGGTGAGAAACTGCTCTCAGAAGAGTTCGGAGGAGAAGGCCAGGAAGGCTGCATTTGGCCAGCTCCCAGCGCGGCTAGTTCCCGCGTGGCCCACGCCCGCAAAGCTAGGAGGCTCCCCGTGAGTCAGGCACCAGCCGGGGTTAGGGCCCTGAGCTGGGCAGCCTTGTCGGGGTTGGCACTTTCTAGACCCGCGTTTTTCAGACTCGTGCGTGACTCTCGGAAGCGCTGTATAAAACTCACGCCGACCCAGGCCCAGCCTCGCTTCACCCCGTATCTTGCAGGTGTGTTGTTATGTATCTTTATTGTAGTCAATCCTCACAACGGCCAGGTGAGGCAGATAAAATGCTTGTCACCATTTCTCAGAGGGGGTAGCTGAAGTGCAAAGAAACATCTTGTTCAGGTCTCGCGGGTAGGAAGCGGCAGGATGGTGGTTGGAGCCCAGGCCGCCGGACCTCAGAGCCAGAGCTCTTAGATGCGAGGTGATATTGCAAGTGTGAGTGTATCAGACAAGGGTTTACTCAATAATACGTACTGGTATTACATGAAACGCCTGCTGATATTTTCTATTGTTCTCTAATTATTCAGTTTTTTGAGAGAACTGCTGGTTGCAACCACTACACTGTTGTTAGGACTCACTCTAGGTCACAATCTATGTTTGAAAAAGGGTGATTTCAACAAAATTGTGCCCCTTAGGCCTTCACCAGAAGTCGAATTCCCACAGTCTCATGAAGAAAACCCGATTCCAGAATCTCTATGGCTTCCCAATTATATATTTTCTGAGCAAATGTAGGCCTCAGACATACAGGCCATGCCCCCCAGCCTCTGCCCCCCAGCCTCCACCACCCCTCCCCTCCTCCACCCCCGCCAGGTGTGTGCTCTCTAAACAACCTCCTCCCTTAGTTTTAGGGGTGCCCTCTGCCTGTCAGTCAGTAGCTTGGAGCATGCCTTCCTGAGCAGCATGCAAAGCCCGAGTCCGAACATCTCCCCAACCGTCCTGGGCATGCGCAAGTCCCGCAGGCCTGGGAGAGCTGCCGTGGGGCGGTGCAAGGCCTTAAAACACCCTGGAAGTCTGATCTGGTTAAACGTTAGAAACATCAGAGGATCCAGCTCCTGCTCAAAAGCAGACATCATTTGCTTATTCATACTTACCTTGTCCGTAACAAATTTTAAGGTGGTTTCAAAAGCAGGCTGTGGACTGTTTAAGAAAGAGAAGGAGCGAAAGGAGAGCGGTGGTATAAGACCTGCTCTCTAGGGGGCCTCATGGTGTGTGCCTGGGATTTCTTAGAAGCCCCCATCAAACTAAGACCACGCGGGCTCAGCTCCGAGGATGCGGCACGAGGCACAGTTACGGCCGTCCAAGGGGGCTCCGTGGCAGCGTTTTGTCAGCGCTCATTTTTCTGATGAAGACGACAAGTTCAGTTGTTTCGAATCCTATAACCAGCTGGAATGCCTCACCTTCCATGATATTTTGGTGACTCCTTGCGCAGCAAAGTCATCAGATACTGAAAATAAGGGCAAAGGGTTGAGAGACAGAAGGAATTCCCACTGGCCTCTAATGGGCTCTGTGACTCTGGGCACATGACTTGGCCTCTCTGGGCCTCTGCGCCCCCAGCTCTCAGGGCAGGACACTGGACTAGACTGTCTCTAAGATCTTTCAGGAGTGACTGAAGTTCCCTGGGGAGTTCTTTCAGAAAGGGCAAGTCAGGGTAGGGTAGGGATGAGAGTGAGCCCTGCGGGGCTGATTACAGATCACGGGCACAGCTCCACAAGCAATGCTTTTAAAACAGAGTGAACAAGATGAGCTGCGAGGGGTAGCCAAGGGGAACAGTGCACACTCGGCGGAAACCGGCCAAGGAAGAAGAGGAAAGACAAGAGAGAGGAAAGGGAGACGCTTTGCCTTTTGGCCAGACTGTCCATCAACACCTCTTACATCAAGAGTATAATAAGAAACATGTGAGTGGACCTGGCTCCGAAATGCTATCGATGGTCATGCCCCTTGGTTTCCCAGTGCATGATTAGACACAACCAGGCCGCCCCCTGCATGCAGCAGGCAAGCCAAGCACATGTCATCTCCGCTATTCGGGGTCTGTGACAGTGCCGTTGCTGAGCTAACCAGCATTTTATTTTGTTCCTTTGACTACTCAGGTCACAGACTGACAGCCATTGGGTTTCTCTGTTTGGCTTTCGCGGCCTTTTAAGAAATTTTCAATTTGTTGCCAACACTTAAAAATTGAGGGATATTACATTAAAATCCAGATTGGAGATATTTCCTGAAAATTCGGATCTACCACATTTGTGCTGATTCTCACAAAACAAACGTTGGCTGGGACAGAGCGGCAGCTGCCCCCTTTGGAAGGGATATGAGTTCTCCGCTTAGCCACAAGCACCCCCTACCCGCACCCCATTGCCTTACAATGCAGCCGGCTTCATTCATTCCTGCTCTCCACCTGGTGGGAAGGGTTGGTCTTTGAGCTCTCAACTCAGGGAGGTCTTCAAATATGCAAGAGCAAAGGGCACTGAGAGGGGAGCCCAGGCACGTGGTCATGTCCTGATCCCCATGCCCTGACAACTGGTCTAGTCTCCGGCCCCTGCATACCCTCTAACCTGGGTATATACTTCTCCCTGCAGCCCCTTTCTTTGCTATCTATAACCTGGTTACCAGCCTGACACCTCCTCGTCGGAGCTCGGTGGTCTGCGGATGCCTAAACAGGACTTGAGAGCCCCGTTCTTCCCTGATTGGTCAGTGGGGCAGCCTCTAAAACCACGTGCCGGGAACCAGAAACAAGCTGTCATGTGAGTGTCTCGTGCTAGTTCAAAGCTGGAATGTCTTTTTCTCTTTGGGGACTGGAAACTTTATGACGACGATGTGCCTGTGCTGGCTGGTCACGTGCTTCGAGGTGTGTGACCTCTCTTTTATCAAACACATCTGAGAGCCTGCTGCGCACCAGGGTCTCTGAGAAGTGCTTCACGTTGGTGACTGCTGATCCTCGTTATAACCTTTCAAGATAAATATTTTTATCACCAGATGGAGAAATCAAGGCCCAGAACAATCACATCGTTAGTAAGTTGTGAATTTGAACTCAGCCCTGTGTTCTCCAAAGCCTGCCAGGCCCCTTTCATTAAGGGGAAGGCCAAAGATGTAATAACAGCAAGTGAAACTGAAGGATTGGGTAGTTGTACCGTACCTTTTTGTTTCTTCATGTCAAATATGTTTTCAGTTAACTTCAAATACTCTGAGGCAAGTTTTACCTCGTGGTGATGAGTCAGAGTCCAGTTGCTTTTTGATCCTGCTGGGAACCCCAGAGTGTGCATAACACAAGCACCAGCCCATAAATAGGCTCATCAGGGAATAGCTCTGAAATGAGCCATCCCCAAATACAAGCACTTCAGCTTCGTGGGTTTCTTTTTTCATCATGATATTGCTTTGTGAACCAAAAGAACGACAAATTGTCGGTGCCTATGGCGGGCCGTGGGGTCCACCTCGGGGCTGCTGGGCAGGCAGGGCCTTGTCCAGCCACAGGTCGCAAGTTCCTGAAGCAGGCTGGTTAGTCAGTGAGCCTTGTAAGCCCAGCCTCTCGTGAGAAGAGAGGCTTTTGGTGCAGAAGTCCCCCCTTATCTGCGGAGAATGTGTCCCAAGACCCCGCAGATGCCTGAAACCGCAGATGATACTGAACCTATCAAATTCTTCAGCTCTGCTGGAAATGTGGCCACGGCTGCTTTACTGGCAGACGCAGCCTCTCCAGTAACTTATAAATTTTTCTGTCCAAACTATTCCTGAATCTGTGTAGCCATCCCTTACTTGCAGTAAATGTCCTGTGTCACTAATTTCAGGGGACCCCCTGCTGAAACGCTCTAAGCTTTATATAGGCTCTAAGCATTCTGGTGCAACAGGTGGCCATCAGTCAGAACACATTTTCTGTTCTCTTCCACCCACAAATGTAGTGCTTTTCCTGTCTGAACACTTAGGCACTGTGGCGTGACTCCTGCAGTTTAAGGTGCGTCTGCAAAACTAGCAAAAATTTCTCCTTCCGTCTTCATAGTTTTATGGGTAGGAGACTCCTTTACAGTAAGATCAGCATACCATTTATTGTTTCTTTCCCTATTAACTCAAGAACTCTCACCTTTTCACTCACAGCTTCCCTTTGGTGTATCTGGATTGCCGGTGTCAACACTCTTGCACCTGGGGGCCAGTAAGTAAAATAAGGGCGACCTGAACCCGAGCATCGTGATACCGAGCCAGGCCGTCCGATAACTGAGAGGGCTGCTGAGTGACGGGCGGGCAGGGAGCATAGACAGTGTGGGTCCCCTGAACAAAGGGACGATTCATGTCCCTGACCAGATGGATCAGAACACTGTGAGATTTCATCATGCTACTCAGAAAGGCATGTAATTTAAAACTTATGAATTGTTTATTTCTGGAATTTTCCATTTAATATTTTCAGGCCATGGTTGACCGCAGGTAACTAAAACAAGGGAAAATGAAACCACAAATAAGGGGGCACTAGTGCAACTGGATGCCCCGCATTATGTGATGTTCCCAGGAAGGGCCCTGACACATGGGCTGAAGTCAGGGCACAGATCAGGGAGCGGCAGTCCCTCTGGCCTCCGCGGATGCCATCGAGACACACCCTGCCACAATGACTGCGCATTGTCTTACCTGACACATTCCCACACTGTGCCCTTCTCTCCAAAATAGCCACATAGCCTTTCCCTGGAGGGCAGCTAAGCCTGCATTTTGAGCGCAAGGTCTAGCGCTGTGATTTAAAAGATGGATAATAAACCTTGGGAACCTTGGACATGACAGGTGCCAAGCTCAGCCTCAAATATAGCTAGTCACATAGGAAGGCTAGGTCGTCAGCTTTCTAGAGGGGGCTTCACTAAACCCTACGTAGTTTGAGGGGGAGTTAAGGAGGTAGGGGGGCTGTGGGCTTGGTAGCTGGCAGGAGAATTGGAAGTCTTTCCACAGATTTCCACTCAAGCCAGCTGCCCGAGGGTTTGCTGGCGTCGAAACCGTTGACTGTTCGTCGGATTGGGGCACAGGCACCATTAGTGTGTCTGGGTCATCCCAGCGCTAAGGGCTGCCACGCGGCCCCGCCTTTGCAAGGACCGCTGATGTCCCGACTCCAATTCAATCAAAACCGAGGGCCACCAGGAGCGCGCTCGGTGGGGCTCGGGGCCCCCGACATTTCCGGCTCACCCACGCGTGACCCTCGCGGGGCCGGCTTTGAGACGGGAGCAGCCCCCCAGTGCACAGACCCCCCTCCCCCTGGGCCAGGGGCGGGGCCGCTGCGGGGCTGCGGGCCTCTTACTGTGATCCGAGCGGAGCCCAGCATCGATGAAAGCGGCCGCTGAATAGAAGAAGATGCTGAGGTCGAAGGTGGGCAGGTCGTCGGCCTCCACTCCGTGATACTCAATGGCCATGCCCCGGTAGTAGTCGGGTCCCGTGTCCACGTTCCGGCGGCCGTGGGCAGCGTTCAGCACGTGCGTGAAGCCCGCCTTCTGCAGCCCATAGCGGTCCAGCGCCGTCGCCCTGTGGTGAAGGACAGAGTCCGGTCGGCGGTGGGCGCCTTAGCCTGGAACTGGGGGGAAGCTAGGGGCCGCCCCTGGTTTCAGCAGTCGGTTCTGTCTTCCAAAGTAAGTCCTAGTCACTGAAATGAAGGACTTCTTTAGTACCAAGCCCTGCTCTTATTACTGACTGGCCCCTTGAGCACCTGTGCCATTTCTTGTTTCTAGCTAGGATGCTTCAAGAAGAGAAGCAAGGTGTTGGAAGGTAGGGGAGGCAACTATTCGTCCATGTGCTTACCTTTCATCATTCACCACACACAGAAGAGCTTGGTGCTGGACACTGTGGTGGTCGCAGGAGTGGGCTGTCACCAGCCAGAGGTGCCCCCCCACACCCTCCAAAGGCCTCCAGAATAACGTGTTCATCACGAAAAACCGAATGCAAGGGCAGAGGGACCCCTTCCCCCAACCTCAGGAGACCCTTTAAAGCAGCCTCTCCTCTGAGAGGGCTGGGTTTGAAGGTTGGGGCTCGAATAAAGGTTTAAGACAGGTACGTCTTTTTGTGCAGGATTTGATTAGGAGTGGGCAAAGTTCTTCATGTTGATGTTCATGGAACTGGTGGACACAATGCAAAACCCTTGCTTTGGTGAGTGAATCATTGTCTAGCTGAGCAAAACAATAATCTGGGAAGGGGAGCTGTTTGAGCAGCGGTCACTTGCACTGATTTGGGGGAGCTCCTGAAGCCAACAGTGAAGTTAGTTTCTGGCGTATACCTTTATCTTTCTAGGCAACAGGGTCAAGTCATGTAGAAGTGGGTGGCCTTGGAACAGGACGCGGAGGGAGCCGGGGTTATTTCTGCCTAGAGCGGCCAGGGGAGGCTTTGTGGGGGAGGCGCTTTAGAGCCTGGCTCACTGCAAGCCTCAGTCCTTGGCGACCGAAGGGCCGGGGGAGGCAAGGGCCAACTCAAGCAGATAACGTAAGGAATGGAGGCTGGAGATAATGAAGGCCTTTTAGGACATGTTTATTATTTCCTATATTTGATCATTTGTCCCCAAGTAATAATTTAGATTCTATTGTGTGCCAAACATTGTCCTGGTGATATAGCAACAATGAACAGATTAGTCGAGGTCCCTTAGGAAGCTTAGATTCCAGTAGGAATTACCATTCCAGCAAATTACCAACCAATGAGTAAACAAGATAATTCCAGACAGGAGTGGAGAGCTGTGGAGAACAACCGTGGTCCAGCTCTAGGGAAGGTGGTCAGGGATGGCCGCTGCAGGGAAGTGGCACTTAAGCTAATTCTGGAAAACGAGAAGAAGCTGGGCAGGGGGAGAGTTGGGGGGAAAGTATTTCATCTAGGTAGCAGGAACAGCAAGTGCTAAGAAGAGAAGGGAAAGAGTGTGTGGCTGTAGTAGTGAGGGGAGCAGAGGTGCAAGCGGAATTTGGGAAGGTAGGCAGGTGCTGTGTCATGGTGGGCCCTGTCGGCGCTGGGGAAAGAGCTGGGTTTCGTTCTGTGAGGTAGAATGCCATGTGCCACAGAGGATTTTTAGGAAGGGGTGCGCATTGTTTACCTTTTTAAAGATCAGTCTGGCTGATGTGTGGAGCTAGATGCGAAGAAGGGCAAAAAATAGAAGCGAGCACCTCTGTTGGAAGCTGTCACAGTTGGACAGCCGAGAGCGGAAGGTGGCCTGGACTAGAAGGCTGTCACAGCAGACTGGCTGATGGATTGAAAATAGGGGAGGGAGAAGGGGACTGGTTTGGCCAGAGCATAGGATGCGACAGAACTTTTGGAGAGGGAGGGTGGGCTTTGGTCACGGAAGTGCTTGGCTGCCAGGATATGTATCTGGAAGTCAAGGAGAGGTAGACGTGAGGAGGGGTGACCCCATCTGGGCTTTGAGAGGACACCTCTGTCAATATCACAAAGACCAGTTGTACAGCTCAGAGAAAAGGCGGCACGGATCTGGAACCATAACAGTAAGAGACCAGAAGTGGCATTGTGCTCCAGCCGAGGGCTCATCTCAAGGCCACTGGGAAAGGATATGGACAGAAGTGGCCATAGCAGATGCCAACATGGATCAACACCTTGGCCGAAGGAGCCCTGCAGCAGAATCCCATGCCTGGCCCCTCGCTGAGGCCGCCGCAATCTCTGGTCTCCTGGAGCCCTTTGTTTGCCACGAGAGAAACAGCGATGGAGCCCGTGTTTGGCAAAGAGGAAGATGAACACAGGCTTTTAGGAACATTTGCCAATAGCCCATTAGAACTGAGGTATAGGGAGGTGGGGAGTCAAACCAAGCACCCCCTTGGTGCTGCCATCCTGACTGTGGAACACACTCTGCTTTCAATTTTTCCTTACAAAGGTCTGTTTTTCATTTTTCTTCATGTCCCAAAGTATGTATACAACAAACATTATGCTTTTGGGACGTAGATCTGCCCTCAATTAAAGGTTTCACTAATGCAGTCCATCTTGCTGAGTAGCAATCAACCTCACTTTGAGGTTGAGCTCAGTGGAAAAATTAAAATTAACTGTCCTTGACAGGATGTTTCTACCCACCAGACAGTTCTCTCTGGGTTCAGCAGCTGGGCTTCAATGCAATCAAATGGCAGTTTGAGTAAATAACTGTTTGCACTTTGCTGCTCTTGGGGTCAAGGATCGGGGTAGATATACAGCCAGACTCACTGCATGACACCTCTACATTCACCCCACAGAGCTGGTTTTGCCTGGTCTCCGAGGGAGAGAAAAGGGCTCATGGGGAGGGTTGGACCTGGTGGGCCCATCTGAGGCCCACTGCAGGTTGTCAGGGCTCTGTGGCTACCTGGGCTGGGAAGGGGAGGTGGTGTCCTCACATACCACTCTAGGTATTTCCCCATAGGTTGGCGTCCTCGGAGTCCATCTGAGGCCTCAGGAGAGTATCCGTGGCAGAATGGGGATCCACACATCAACAGAGGGACTCAGCAGACAGGGACTGTGATGGGGGCAGACCCCAGCTGACCAGGGTGCCTAGCTCAGTGATTATTGGGAGTGAGGCAGGGGGTGATAAAGAGTGCTGTCTGGCATTGTTTCGTTTTATTTTAAGGCCACCTGCTCAGATGTGTTATATGGGAAACAGACCAAGAAGCGTGTCTCTGCTGAAGGAAAAAAGCTCAGAAGAAAAGCAGATCTAGAACTTCTAGAATCTAGATGATGCAAGAACCTCAGTTTTTGGTTCTTTAGGAAAAATCCTAAATAAAAACAGTCTGTTCATTTAAAAAATAATGTTATCTAATTACAAAAAATAATACGATCAATGAGGAAGTGGAAATCATAGCCCCTTGTGCACACACACAAAATTGCCTGTATTTATCACCCTCAGATAAAGATTATTTGCTCTTTGCTGTAATATCCTCCAGTTGTTTTCGTATTCATAGATTTGTATATTTTACACAGAGATTTGTTTGGGGTGCAATACTATATAGTTGCAAAAGCTTTGCCATGGGGGTGGCACATTGTAAACGTCCTCTGGGTCAGCCTACAACTTCCGACAGCTGCACACTGTCTCATCCTGTAGGTAAGTCTCGATCCACCTCACCCAGCCCTGATTTCGGACACTTGTCATATCTCTGCCTATTTCTATCCTTATCTCTATCTCTGTCCTGGAATGAGACTGGCAGGTAGTATAAGAAGGACTATAAACAAAACTTTGCTTTATTTCTTTGGGCACATCTCCGATTATGTCCTTAGGAGAGTTAAAAAAAATTTTTTTTAAGTGGAATTGCTGGGTCAATGGGCATGAGCATTTTTAACACATTTGATACTTGTTACTAAATTATTATCCGGAAATATTGCTTAAATCATTTTGACCTTTAATATTTACTATTTGCTGATGTCATAGGCAAAAACAAAAACAAAACACCACCAAAAAAAAGAAATGGTGTCATTTTCTTTAATTTGTTTTAGCAATGAGATTGTACATTTTCTCACCAGTTGTTGGACTTATGCAAGCACTTCTTTAAAAAGTCTCCTATCTCCCACTGGCTGCTGTGGCTCAGTAGATTGAACACCGGCCTGTGAACCAAAGGGTCACTGATTCGATTCCCAGTCAGGGCACGTGCCTGGGTTGCAGGCCAGGTCCCCAGTAGTGGGTGCGTGACAGGCAACCACACATTGATGTTTCGCTCCCTCTCTCCCTCCCTTCCCCTCTCTCTAAAAATAAATAAATAAAAACCTTAAAAAAAACCTCACATCTCTTCAGGAAAAGCACTGTTGAGTATCTATTACATACTGTGGAGAACTTCAGTCTTGGTCCCAGTGTTAAGAACTCCTGCAGTGCACTGTTGAAGATGTCGTCATATCGCTATGATTGACCCAGTTCTCTCCAGCATCTCTCCCTCTCTGTGAACCTCATCTAGCTCTGGATTCTGACACCAGGTCCCAGGGCCAAGGAGGTGACTTCCTTCTTGCACAGCCCGATTTCCTCTGAGACCTTCCCCTCCCTCCTCCCGTAGCCTGGCCCGTTCCTTTAGCCCCTCTGAGGTTCTGGGAAGCTTGCTTCACCCCACACCCTTAAGAATGGTGAGTGGAGCACTCTGCGTGAGGCAGTTTCCTTGGGCAGCACTCCTGTCATTCCACTTTTTCAGACCCCTTTGTGCTCTCCTGATTCTCAGCCTACCTACCTCAGCGTCCACCTGAGAGCCCATGCTCCCCAGGTGTGGGAGGGACGTGCATGTACATCTCTGTACAAGCCCCGCCAGCTTCCTGGCAAAGAAACCAGCTGGTCCCATGTGGCCAGGATTCTTCTGGGGGCACTAAAAAAAGCCTACTAGTGATGGGGTGGTTCTCCACAGCCTCGTGTCTGTGAGGACCCACTGATTTCTCCCTCCTAATTAGGGGTTCCTGTTTGCACAGGGCCTGTACCCTGCAATCTGGCACCTTTCTTATTCTGGTGGATGTGACACTGCTGTGGTCTCGTTTCATGGACCTGACTCTGCCGGCGACTCCCCCTCCTTGACCACACCTGTTCCTTGCAGGTAGATTTTAAAACACCAGGTATATTTCTAGCCTTCGACCTTGGTCAGTTAACCTGATAGGAAGTGAAATTCACTGTTTTTTTTTTTCTTGGGTGTTCTTATTTGCGGCTGATGGAGCTGTTTGGTTTTGAGTCCCCTCAGACACACAGGCCTGACAGATGCTGTTTATAATCTTAAACTTCCGTGTGAACTAACACGACTGAGGCTCTGGGACCCTGGTTGTTGTTTTTTTTTTAAATGGAAACAATTACACTGGCAGCACTTTCCTTAAGAGACTTTTGTAAAGTCTAATGATGTTATATTCAAGGTGTTTTTTTTTTTAAGGTTAAAAGATAAATTCAAGAGGAAAAAAGCAGTAGAAGTGCACACCACAATGTGATTGGTTGCTATCTCTGGATAACAGATTATGGCTAATGGGGATTTTAATTCCCTTCTCTTTGATCATCCATATTTTGTAAATTTGCAGTGATGAAGATGTTATATATTTACTTGATAATGTAAATGTATACCATGATTTTTATTGATGTTACTTCCTTAATTCTCAGGAGAGACTGACCATTGCAAAGACTGAAGCTGGCCTTGGCATTTTTTAACTCTTGTTAGAAATCTCAGCATCTGCCCACTGCCCCAGACTCCCAGCCTCCAAGGATAGAGGCTAAGAGGGGGAATACATGTGACGTCTGGTTTTGAGAAAGGAGGTTGTGTTCGTGATGGACTAGGCATCTGGCTAACAGTGAGAGGAATGGTTGACGCTGTTTGAGGCCTTTGTTGAAAAGCTGTCACCCGGCAGGAGGAACCCAGCCAGGCCAGGGCCCCCAGTATCTCCCCATTTGCCTTGCCCCTGGCTGAGGCTGCATACATAAGTCGCCTTCGGTATTTGGAGGTTCAGAGTCCAGGTTTTCTAGTTCTTTCAGGTAACGTTTAGCACATTCAGTTATCAGTCTTGGCTGTGTTTTTGCTGCACTCTAAACTAGCCATGGCCCACCCTGAAAGCAGGTCAAGTTTTAGCTCTACTAGGTGTCTTGAGGCTGAATTAGTTCCTTCTTTTGGTGGGGGGCGGGCGGGGTACAGCTGCCCTGGTGTCCCAGCGAGAAGCCTTCTCTCAGGCTGAGGGCTGTCTCAGCCGATTGATTGGCCTTCACCTCATTTCCCCACCTCCTCAAGGACAGGCCAGCACTGGAGATGCCTCTGTCTTTTGAGGCTATTGGTCTGGTTGGGAGTAGAAAGGGCAAGAGAGACACCTGGACAGCAGCTCAGGCTGGGTGCGGCTGGCCACAGGTATGTGAGGAGTCAGGCTTCATGGACCGGGGCCAGCAGTTGATGACCCCCAAAGCCAGACCTTGGCCCCAATTGTAGTTTTAATAAAAACGGGGAACTGCTTAGGGCCCCCACCATTCAAGCAGCAGGGCAGCCTACCAGTGCCCTGGTGTGGCTGAGAGGGAAGAGAGATTTCTGAATCACCCTGTTTCGGCTGAGCTTTGCTATTGCCATCTATTCTGCCTGAGAATTTGCAATCACTTCCACAGGAGTCAGGATATTTCCCCTCCTGCTGACTATAGGAGGGAAAAAAAGAAAAAGAAAAAAGGATTTTGCTAAGCAAATGAAAGACGTCAATGAGATTAAAGTGAGAATATTTAAATTACAGAAACTTAGTGCTTTCAAGCATACTCAAGCACTTTGGAAGCACCCATTTAGGGACTGCTGATTGATAAGAGGTGATGAATTATTCTTATCTCATCATTGACGCCAGTCCCCGGGTCTCTGGAGGGCAACACTTGGTTAACCTAATTTGAATCTAATTTAAATGACTTAAAAGTAATAAAACAAGTATGTGCTTGAATCTAATAAAGCCTAATTTATTTAATAGGACATGGCTTGAAGAATTTTATCGGAGAGCTAGAAGGCACCTTTCATTCAAATCATCCCTTTATTTTACAAATGAAGAAACTGAGTCCTAGAACAGTAAAATATTTGAACTCAGGGCCCTGCTTGAATTCAGGTCCTGCTTGATGGCTTTTACAGTTCTTGCCTGGGGCAGTCCGACTCCCCACCAAGTTACAGGAAATGTGTGGGGAGAGTGTAGCTGTGGGGTGAGCGAGGTAGACCTCCTACAAAAACATCTGACAGGTGCATGCCGGGAGCCTCTGTTGACCCAGCACTCTGACCACCAGCCACGCCCCCTCCTGCCTGCAACCTCTTATTACCTGACTGTGGTGCTGGAGCCACCTCTGCCCCCTGCTGGGCTTGGCAAGCAATGGGGACTTGGAGTCACCAGGCTCCCCACTTACAGAATCCTCTTGGAATAAGCTAGGACTAAGAAAATGCTTTAGAAATTTGGAAACCCACAGTCCCGTGGGGCTTTGATGTGGCATTGCCTTAGGTCACCTGGGTTCCCCGAAGGCCAGGACGGTGTCTGTGGGGGAGTTGGTGCATGAGCTGGAGAAGGCCCATTAGGAGGGACCTTCCTTCCAACTTGGCCTTGGGTTCATGACAGCATCTCCTGGGAAAAATTGAACTGGAGGTGTTTTGTTAGCCCAGAGGGACCCTTAGTAGCAAAGCATGGTAACCATTCTTTACCTTCCTCCCACACTGTGAGTCAAACTCCCAGAACCTGCCTGATCTATAGTGGTTATTGGGTGTGGCAGGCATTGCACTAAACATCATATGTATTAACTCATTGAGTCCACATCTTGCAGGTGAAGAAATTGAAGCTCAGAAAGCTTGAGTGACTTGCTCAAGGCCATGTGGAAACCAGTGTTTGACCCAGACATCTTGGCTCTGGAGCAGATGCCCAGCCATTCTGCCTGTCTCCATAAGAAGCCCTTGAGGAAGGAGGATGGGGAAAGAATGAGCTGCTTTGTGTGGGAAATCTGGTCCCCAGGGGGTTCTGAGCATCATTTAATGTGGGTTCTAGGAACAGCCAGTGGCTCTGGCTGCCCCAGGACATCCGCCCTCACTCCTGGGTCCTGCCCGTCCTAATTTCCAGAGCCTTGATGCTCAACTTTTAAAAATCTTGGGTGCTTTTAGGGAAATGAAAAACCCAACCTAAATGCAAATATCAAATTAAAACCGAGGCTTTATGCATGAGGAGCCAGCTCTGAGCTTTTTGCTGCTTTGGGCATTACCTGTAAAGAGACCAAGGCACACAACCCTCCACACCTGCTCTCAGCGGGGTCACAACCTCTGAGTGGTTGAGCTGGCTCTGGAAACAACTGCTCTATCACTAAGCATCTGTGAGTCTCGTTAACCTTGTTAAGTGGGTACCTTGGAGGGCCCCTGAACAGAGAAGGGGATGAGGACCACGTCATGCTGACTTTATTTAGCCTCCTCCCCACGCGGTGCACGCAGGCCATGCACACTAACTGTGGAGCTTGCCTCGCCTGTGCACATGTGTGTCTGCAGGCTCAATTAGGCAGAGCTGCATTGAAATGAAAGGGCAGTGCCATTTTCTTGGCAGAAGGAAGTGAGGTCATGGCCAGAGGTCAAGGAGGCGAGCATACCTTAGTGCATGGAACTGTCTGGCACTCTATTAACTAGAACATGTCTGTCCTGCTCAGATACTCTCAATTTAACTTCCCGAATAAAGTATCTCGGCTGGCATTCGGCCTTCCACAAGCTGGCCCTGACCTTCCTGGGTTTCTTTCTCACTAAGTAATAGTAATAGTAATAGTAATAGTAATAGTAATAGTAATAGTAATAGTAATAGTAATAGTAATAGTAATAGTAATAGTAATAGTAATAGTATTTTCATCTGTCTCTTATTTTATAATTTATAAAATGCTTTCACATTCCGTATCTCTTTGACTCTTCTCAGTAACCTTTTTTAGAGACGAGAACACAGATAAGAGGACCTGTGCAAACCCACTACACCTGCAGTAGATTGTGCCCAGGTAGATGGTGTGATACCGTTTAGAATATTTGCTGTCCCTCCCTCAGGATGACACTTTTCTGCCCGATCGATGTGAAGCTGTGGCGTGGACTTGCTTTGGCCAATGAAATGCAGCCGTCGGCCTGGATCCTGAGTCCCAGAGTAAAGTGGACGTGCTGCACCGTTAGCACCGGCCCACCACGAACACGTCACGCCGGTGAGAAAGAAGCCACTGTTGGGGGAGGCCGCTGAGACGCTGTGGTCACCTGGCGTGGCAGCACAGCTGTCTCCGCTGGCCTCGTGGCGGGAGAATTCGGCTTAATCCCAGGTCTTCTGCAAGTGCCCTTCCTACCACGCCCATCCCCTGCATTCCAGATAAACTACCCCGTTTGTTCTTACCTCTGCATCTTTCATCATCCTGTGCCCTCTGCTTAGAATTCTGTTGAAATCCTACCCATCTTCCAAAGTCAAGCCTGGAATTTACCTCTTCTTCTGTGATGCATCCTCAGAGCCAAAGTACAGGCACTTTGTGAGCTACTATTCTAGCACTTCATTTGTTTTAATTCATTTAATCCTCACCCTTTGGGGTAAGCCAAAGTACCTCGTTCAAGATCACACGATCAATAATTGGCAGAGCCAAGACTCACACCCCACGCTCCTTCCACCCCATTCCCTACTTCTCTTTCCGTTCCCCGTTACGGTTCCACACATGTCCTCTCCTCCGTTTTCATCTGACTGACCACATTTTCTTGATTTGGGTTTGAGTATAAATCCTATCAATGATTGGTTGTATGACCTTGGGCTGATCCCTCAATTTCTCTGGGCCTCATTTCCTCTTCGTCTCCCCCACAGCTCCTAGTAAGATGCCAGTAAACACTGACTGACCAATGAAATGAACAAACTCTCTGAGCCTCGGTTTACCCATTTATAAAATGGGTGTAATAAATGGTACCTCCTTCCTGGGGCTATCCTAGGGTTTAAATTACACCACGCATGAGGCACAGCACATGGTAAAAATCCAGTACAACTTGGCTATCGTTACTATTATAAACTACAGGAAAGGTAAACATACAGTATAATATACAGAGAGAAAAAACTTACCTCTCACTGCAGGGACTGGGGAGAGCTAGCTAGCTTCACGGTGGAAGGGTGCATAGGGTCTGGACACGGAGATGGCGTGAAGGGAAGGACAGTTCAGGTAAAGGGAATGGCATTCGGTAAAGACACAGGGACAGTTTCAGTTGAAATCTTAAACCGCCTCCCCTCAGTTATACCATTGTCAGGATCAGATCTGAGGAAGTAACCCTAAACATGAAAAAAACTATGCATAAAGATGTCCCTTACAGCATTTATAAAAGTGAGATCATGGGAATAATAATGTGTCCAACAACGGGAAGTAGTTAAATGAATGACCATATAGTCATCTGATATGCTATTCTATTTTGTATTTAAGATATCATTAATATTATATTAAATACATGAGGAGTATGTAATAAGGGAAAATTTATGAATGATGCTAGGTGAAAAAAGACAAAATAAATATTCAATATGGTTACAACTATGCAAAAGTGAATTTTGAAGCCAAAAATAATATACAGAAACCTAGACAATATACTGAAATATCAATAAGAATGGCTTTGCAGTAATGGGCTTTAGTGATTGTTTGGGGAAATTTAAGTTTTCTTCCTTACATGAATAACCATTTTATTATTCTAGTTAAACATGTATTGAGTACTTACTATGAATTAGGCACTAGACTGATATTTCATGTATATTATCTCACTTAATCCACACAACACTATGAGTAAAGTTCTTTTGTTAACCTATTACAAATAGGAAAATTAAGACATATATTTCTACAATGAGCATTTATTACTGTTATAATGGGAAAACCATATATCACATTTATTTATTATTTTATTATTAAAAGAAAATACATACATCTTTATGTACTGGTACTCTTATTTCTGTAAATTATATTTCTTTTTTGTAAGTTATATTTCTTAAAGTGATATTTGGGGTCAAAGTGTGTATGTGGTTGTTTTATTCTGAACTAATTTTAGGCTTATAGAAAAAAATGCAAAAATAGAATAAAATACTGATGCATGCTATAACTTGTATGAACCTCTGAAACAGTTGGTTAAGTGGAAAAAAAAACAGTCACAAAAGGACCAGATATTCCGATTCCCCTTATGTGCAATGTCCAGCACAAAGACAGAGCCCCCGAGACACAGACAGCAGATTGGTGGTTGCCTGGGGCTGGGGGAGGTGGGGAATAGGGGAGATTACGTAACGGGTTCAGGGTTTCTTTTTGAGGTGATGAAAACGCTTTCATATTGTGTAGTGGTGATGGTTGCACAACTCTGCGAATAGAATAAAACCACCACTGGGTGAATTTTATAGAGTGTGAATTGTATGTCAATAAAGCTGTTATTTTTTTAAAACCAGTATACACAGTCCCTATATACCTCTCACCTAGGTTCCATTAATTTTCCCAACTGGGAAATGATTGGATAAACTGTGGTACAACTATACTATGGAATATTAAAGATGCAGAGTAGTGTATATATAGTATGTTTTTTTCCTAAAACTTATTTAAGAGAAACAGAAACCTTTTATATGTGTATATATGTTTCCCCATGAAGTAGCAGCAGTATGCAAACATGCAATACTGGTTACTTCATGGTAGAGTTAAAAGAGGACAAGGGGAGATTATGCAGTTTGTTTTTGTAACCCTATTTAGTTTCGTATAAAAGGGCATGCACTTTTGTAACTTTCTCAACTTAAAAATGTTAAGAGAAAAAATGGACAAGGAAGGCTGTCCCTGGGCTCCCCATGACCAGACAGTTATCTCTGAATGTTCAGCAGCATGACCTGTGTGTCAAAACCACTGGTGCGGAGGCGCCAGTGGAGGGAGGATTTATGATGAAAACTTCTGGGTTGGACAAAACTGCCTTTGAATCCCAGGTCTCTGCCACCTACTGGGCGGTGGACCTTGGGGCCATTAATTTACTGCTCTGTGTCTCAATTTTCTTATCTTTGAATGGGAATAAATAGATAACCTCTTTCACTGGCTTTAGTAAAAATAAAATAAGATTGTGTATGCAAGATGCTTAGCACAATACGTGGTACAAAGTATTCAATAAATCATAGGCATGATTATTATTAATATTTTTTGCAGCAGGAGCTTCCCAGTTGTTTGAGGAGTGGGGAGTGGTGGCTATAAAAATCTAAAGAAGGAGGCCTGACTGGTGCAGCTCAGTGGACTGAGTGCAGGCCTGCAAACCAAGGGATCGTGGTTCGATTCCCAGTCAGGGCACATGCCTGGGTTGCAGGCCAGTTCCCAGTGGGGGATACATGAGAGACAACCATACACTGATATTTCTCTCCCTCTCTCCTTCCCTTCCCCCCTAAAGATAAATGAATAAAATCTTTTAAAAAATCTAAGACAGCCACTTGAACTTTGCTAGGCCTACATTTTGGTTCCCCACACATAAGTAGATGAGCTCCTGTACCGCCAACCTGAGAACTGACTTTATTCTTGCTGGTATTACACCCAGCTAAAATAAAAGACTCCCAGCCTCCCTTGCAGCTAGGGGCAGGGGTTGTCTTGGGTGGGACTTCTGGTGGAAAGATGCCCTTTTGCTCTCACTTTCCCTCTACCTTCTTGCAGTCTGGCTCCTACAGAGGATGGCTGGAACCCCGTCAGCCATCTCAGCCCATGCAGAAACCTTGAAGAAGAAAGCCACACCCTCGGGATGATGGCACAGAGGCACAGAAGCCTGAGTCCCTGATGACTCTGGAGACCCATACCACTCCCAGCTTGCTGTCCTCTGTACTTCTTTCACGTGGCAACAAAATCCACCTCTCTCTTGTTTAAAACCCTTTTCTGCAATATGAAGATACACCCAGCCCTAACTATTAGAGTTCTCACAGAACAACTAACCTGAAAAGTAAAATCTCATGGCCAGGAGGTGGCAGGAGGTGTGACCTGAGGAGGGGCTGGCTGCCTTCTCCTGGGCTTGGCCGGGGCACTTACTCATCCCCGACGTATAGCTGGGGCCAGACCTCGTTGACGTGGGTGTACTGGGGGCTGCCCTTCCAGAAGAGGCGCTCCAGCTCAAAGGCTCCGGGGGTACAGTAGTCCTCCGCCTCCTCCGCCTTTGGCAGCAGTCTCTTGGCAGATGGGTAGGCGTTCTTGAGGCTTGTCTTCGGCTCTCCGGATCTCATTTTGGAGCCAGTGGATTTTCTCCTTTCTGCAGCTGGTCATGAGAGAAGGTTGACACTGGGGTTAGCGGGGGGACAGAGGTAGGGAATGGGCTTTCCGAGAAGAGGTGGGAATAAGCTGATCTCAAAGTTCGGCAGGCATTTCCCAGGCGTGCTCTGCCTTTGCTCCTGGGCCACAGAGGGAGACAAGGCGTGCCCTGCCGGCAGCTAAACAATGAGCCCCCGACATCCCAGCGTCTCCAGGGCTAGAGGACTCGGACCCTCTGGCCCCGCACAGGTGAATTTGCAGCAGACTCCGTACAGAAACCCCTCAGGCAGTCAGCCCCTTGCTTCCTTTCTTTCACTCGTAGACTGTACCCTGCGGGTGTCCAACCACTGCCCGTGGGGGGCTGCATGCAGCCCAGGATGGCTTTGAATGTGGCCCGATACAAAATCATAAATTTACTTAAAACATTAGTTTTATTACTTAGATACGTACATTTTCTATGTTAGTGATCACACACTTAGGAACTCTGCGATGAGTTTAAAAGATTGTTGAGCCCTAGCTGGTGTGTAGCTCAGTGGATTGAGAGCAGCCTGCAACCAAAGGGTTGACAGTTCGATTCCCAGTCAGGGCGCATGCCTGGGTTCCAGACCAGGTCCCCACTGGGGGGCGCATGAGAAGCAACCACACATTGATGTTCCTCTCCCTCCTTATCTCCTTCGCTTCCCCCTCTCTAAAAATAAATAAATAAAATCTTTTAAAAAAGATTATTGAAAGGGCTGCTGTATAATTATGGACTTTGTGTGAGGACTTTTTTGCATACCTGTGGTGGCAGATATCACAAAAATTATGCACAGACCTTTTTTGTTTTTGTTCTTGTTTGTGTATTTAACGTGTGGCCTAAGACAACTAACTCTTCTTCCAGTGTGGCCCAGAGATGCCAAAAGATTGGACACTCCTGTTTTACTACTTCTTTGGTGCTTATTTTTTCCTTTATCTGACTGGAATCTGCTGACTCGGGACATTTTGAACTGGAATAGAAGGGCCCAGAAGGTGCCTGACCTTCCAGGCTGCGGTACCCGACGCCAGCCAGTGCCCGTGGAAAGGGCACACCTGGCGATCCAGGGCCTGTCTGGCCTGGGCCACCGTGCACCTTCTCGGGGCTCCGGGAGCCTTGGGGTGTGCGTGCTCATCGACTCGCTAGGGGAGTTGAAGTCAGTGTTTGTGGCTCACGCCAGGACGCTGGCAGGCCTGTTAACTTGCCAGGGCATCGGAAGAAACGTCCCTAATGGGAAAGCTGTGGGTGCAGACTGCAGCGTGTATTTGGAGAGCTGGCCCGGCTCTGCGAGTGGAACCCAAGGAAATGAACTCACTGTGGAACTGGCAGGGTTTGCTCCCTGAGCTGAGCGACTGGTGCATCTACGCTCAGACGGCCTGGGAGGGGAAGCTATTCCCAGGCCCTGAGAAAAGGGTGGAGGGACTGAGAGACATGGAGGTGAGTGACAGGGAAGGGATGTCATTTATTTATTTTTCTTCTCATTATTTTTAATCCTCACTCAAGGATATGTTTTTATTGATTTTTAGAGAGAGAAAAGAAGGGGGAGAGAGAGAGAGAGAAACATCGATCGGTTGCCTCCCATCCACGGCCAGTGATTGAACCTAACGCCTAGGTATGTACCCTGACAGGGGGGTACCCGGGGATCGAACCCACAACCTTTTGCTGTACGAGATGACCCTCCAACTACTGAGCCGCCTGGCCAGGGCAGGATGTTATTTATTAACAAATACTCCTCTAGCACTTATTCTGTTCCAGGCCCTATTACACGTGCTTTACAATTATTAGCTCATTTAATCTTCTTAACAACCCTGTGAGGTAGGTGCTGTTATTAACTCCACTTGACAGATGAGGAAAACTAAGTTGAGAATGTTTGTAACACTTGGTCTTAGTCTTCTGAGAAAAAGTCATTGCTGAGGGTTGGGGGTGGGGAATTTCAGCTTGAGGAGGGGCAGGCAGGAGGGAGCCAAGAACATGAAAAAGGGCTGGTAGCCTCAAAGACCACAGGTCTGCCAAAAGGACTGGGAACACAGTTGGAAGAGGCTCCCACTTTTCAAAAAATGGGGCAACTTGAACATGAAACGTAAAAATGACTGTAGTGGACTGAAACACATTAAACATTTAAATTGTAATGCCGCACAAAAAATTATTCACTCACTGTTAGAAGATGCTCGAGAACCAGCTCATTACTTTGAAGAGAGATAAGTAAAGGGGAAGAATCTAGCATTATTTATCGCTCCTTTCTGATATACACTGTACTACTGAGCCTGTTTTCTAAAGTATTACAGGTAATAAAAAGGCAGGAAGCAGCCTTTCACCACACCTGACGAGCCAGTGGGTGTGGCTGTGCCCGGCGACGGCCAAGCGTAAGGCGATGTGAGCAGGCGCCCGGGCCTTCTGGTGGGAGCGCATGCCCCACGATGGCAGCCTCGCGCGACGAGACCAGACTCTTTGATCAGAGTCCTCAGAGTCTAGCTCTAATGCCCAATGCATAGGAGATTCCGAGGATAGTCAAATTAGACCAGAGGGCCTCGTCTGAGAAACACAGACGCAATATTCACAGGTGGAATAGCACAATGTCTGAAATTTGCTTCAAGAAAAAGACAGTTGGAAGAACAGAATCACATATTGTGTGTGGGGTGGGGCCGGATTGGCCGTGGGTGTGGGTGGTAGGGGTTGGGTGACAGTTGCGGGGTCATTACTGTTTTCCCTTGTGTGTTTGTAACTTTCCATTAAAAAAAGTTTTGAAAAGAGCTGAAACCACTGCTCTGGGAAATTCAGTTCACCCAAGTTCGTAGCAGATAAATGTAAAAGATCACTAGCTAGCAGAGCGTGTCTTCAGGGACCAGGGGAAAGCCAGGACCGGTGACTTTCTTCTGCAGAATCCTGAGTTGTGGGGTGGGGGTGAGGAGCAGCAGAGGTGGCCCTTCTCTGGAGTCTACTGAAGTGTGATCTAAAGACCCTCAGAATCACCTGGTACTTGCTAAAAGTACAGGTTCCTGGGTTGCACCCTGGACTTCGGAACAGGCCTGGGCGTCTGTATATCAACAGGCTACCGAGTGAGTCTGAAGCTCAGCAAAGTTGGATCATTTCCCCAGAGACTGGCTAAAGAGCCACGGAGCTTATGCGTCAAGGGAAGGGCAGTTAGGATGCTCGGCATGTTTTCATCTTCTCACTGGAGTGGAGGCCAGGTCTTTAAACCAGAACAAGGGTGTGGACTGGGACCGGGCGGGGGCTGGGCTTCTTGAAGATGGCTCCTTAGTGGCGCTTGTCTCTGTGGCCTCAGTGTCTGACACAGAGGAGGCACTTAGAAAATATTTTTCAAATGAAGACATGGCTTAGTGAGGGGCTGAAATGAGTGAGTGGGGGACAGAGGGGATGAGTTTAAAGGACCGTGAGGCCTGTAGTGGGGACTCAGCCAGAGCTGATGATGCAGGACTGAGTCTCCGGGCTACTTTGGAGGAGGATGGAAGGTGAGCAAAGGATGGACAAAGCTCCCTCGTGGGTGGTGACTCAGGTCTGAACTCACTCCAGGGCCTGCCTGCGGGCATTTCCAGTCGCCAAGGAAGGAATCGTTTCAAGGGACGACCAGAAACTTCAGTGGCAGGCACCAGCACAGACACCTGTCTCCTGAGAGTGTAGTTATATGTCTCTTTGCTTCAGGCCTTGATTTGGGGAGGTCTAGAGCTCAGTCCATCCATGGCACCAACTCTTCTTACTTCAAAATGGGTAGAAGCTGGACATCATATACCTACATTTGGAGGTGCAGGCTGTCTCAAACCCTGCTTGCCATTAAAGGAGGCTTCAGAAGAGGTGATTGCAGGGAGATGCTGGAGTAAACGGCATTCTGAAATCTCGGCCTGCCCCTTTGATCTCTGAAGCTGACCTCGCCCTGGCTGAGGCCGTTGTTCCAGTGTTCTGTGGAAGGAGCCATCCCCATCCCCATCTCCGCGCTGAAAGCCTCGGCTGGATTTCCAGACAGAAGAGGAAGTGGCGCGGTCTACCCAGAGCAGCTTGGCACGCAGAGGAGCTCTGGGATCTATTATCCTCCAGCGTGCAGATTGGATGGGGGAAGAGAACAAAGCGCAGAGCCGGCCAGAAACCACAGACCTGTAATCTTTCCAAATCCTGAAGGCGGCTCGTGTGCATCCCTCTCTGCATGGCTCCCAAATCTCCAAATCTCCGAGAGGCCAGGACCGTCTGTTTCCCAGATCACAGCCAAAATGGAAGGGGAAGACAAATCTGTTCTGTTTGGTTTCCATAGATTCGACCCAGAGATTAACTGCCAAGGTCTCAATGACACACACAATATCAATCACAGACTAAATGTCATAATGAGAGCTGGGCAGGTTGTCAAGAGAGGCCTCCAGATTCCTGTTACAGCTTCATATTTAAAGGTTTGGTCCCAGGAAACCAAATGCCAACTTGACGGCTACTTGGCCTCTGTGCTTCACCAGACTCGGCTCCTTCCTGGAGGGGCCGGCCAGGTGACGCAGAGGAGGGGAATGGCTTGGGTGTTAAAGAACAAAACAAACACACAAAAATCTAACTGTTGACCTCAGGCAGGAGACATTAGGGAGTGGTGGGGACTGTGGCATACGGAAGAGCGTATGCCCCCCATCCCATGTGGGAATGCAAGCCCAGATCATCTGACATTCTTCTGAGAATTCAGAAAGGCAGCGTTCCGTGAGAAATCTGCTGGTGTGTAAGCATAGGCAGCTGTAGCAAATGCTTTCCTTGTTCTGCCTCAGTCCTTGGTCAGCTCACTGCATTATAAATGGACAGCGCCCTTACACAAAAGGCTTCCTCTCTCAAGCCCTGGTATTTCCCTCCTTGAGGATGTTTTCTGGTATTTGCTCTGATCAGGCCTAACATGTTGAGGGTTACTCCCAGAAGTCATTGGAATGAGGGGCAGGAGTTGGTGGACAACTAACCCAACTTCTTCCACCTTGAGTGGGACCACTTTGAAATCTGTTCTCCAGCCTCCTGAAGGCTCC